GGAGATGGTGGGCGGGGCCTGGTGGATGGGAGATGGTGGGTGGGGAGATGGTGGGCGGGGCCTGGTGGATGGGAGATGGTGGGTGGGGAGATGGTGGGCGGGGCCTGGTGGATGGGAGATGATGGGTGGGGAGATGGTGGGCGGGCCTGGTGGATGGGAGATGGTGGGTGGGGAGATGGTGGGCGGGGCCTGGTGGATGGGAGATGATGGGTGGGGAGATGGTGGGCGGGCCTGGTGGATGGGAGATGGTGGGTGGGGAGATGGTGGGCGGGCCTGGTGGATGGGAGATGGTGGGTGGGGAGATGGTGGGTGGGGAGATGGTGGGTGGGGAGATGGTGGGCGGGGCCTGGTGGATGGGAGATGGTGGGTGGGGAGATGGTGGGCGGGCCTGGTGGATGGGAGATGGTGGGTGGGGAGATGGTGGGCGGGCCTGGTGGGCGGGGCCTCCTGTTGTGAGCTCGGTGCTATGAAGCCCCTCCTCCTCCTCTTTTCCTGCTGGATCCTGTTCCCTTGGATTCCTGGGGGGTTGGGGTGGGAGAGTGGGAGAGGGGGCAGAGCCACAGAGGGCGGAGCCACTCAGGGGGCGGAGCCACACAGGGGGCGGAGCCATGCAGGGCAGAGCCATACAGGAGGCAGAGCTGCGTAGGGGGCGGAGCCATGCAGGGGCGGAGCCATACAGGGCGGAGCCATACAGAAGCGGGGCCACGCAGGGGCGGGGCCACGCAGAGGGCGGCCTCACCTGCTCCCCCGGCACAGGGACACCTGGGAGGACGGGTGGGTGCCCCTGGCCATGCCTCCCGCCCTGTTTGTGCTCCGACTACAAAGCCCCGGGCTGCTCGCCCAGGGGAGGCCCCGCACCCGGCCTGTCTGGCAGGGGCTCTGGCCCATGGGAGGGGCAGGGAGCCCGGGGCCGTGGCAGCGCCAGGCCTTCCCCTCCCTCTCAGCAGCCAGGGCCCGTCTGCGCGCTCACAGCTCCGGGCGGACAGGGCTGGCATCTGACACGGCTCCTCCCGGCCCGGCCCCAGGGTGCACGGAGAGGACAGGCCAGCGCCCTGGCCGGCCGGCCTGAGGGGCGCCCGACAAGGGGCGAGCTCGCCCTCGGGAGGGCGTCCTTCGGGTGCGGGCCGCCTCTGGGAGCCTGACCTCTGCTCTGCCCCGTGTCCTGGGACGTGTGGGGCGCACAGACCCAGCACAGGCCCCGGGAGAGGGGGCCGGGGTGGTCGCCTGCCTCCCTGGCCTGACGGGACCCTGCGCCCGGGCAGCTGGGGGACAGGAGGTGCTGCTCTGTGCGGGGCCACCCTGCGGCCGGCGGCGGGCCCCGGACAGGCCTGCGGGTTGGGGGACGGGATTCACACCGAGGGCCGGGGGCCCAGCACTCCCAGCGGGCGGTGGCCACTCACCTGGGCTGCCTCAGGGCGTCCTCGGGCGGCAGGAAGAGGCCCAGGCTCGTGGCCCCACGTCCTCACGGCTGGCCAGCCCGGCGGGCCCATCCTCACTGGGTTCTGGGCTCCGTCCCCACGGCCACGCCGGCCACGGCAGCCACGCCGGCCACAGCAGCCACGCCGGCCACGGCCCGCTCCCAGGACCCCGCGGCCAGCCAACAGAAGCCACGTGTATGAAAGGACGTTCTCTTTATTTCCATAATTTAGCGGAATCAACAGAAACCGGAGACGGAGAAACAAGAGAAAAACGGTACATTGCGTCCTCCCGGCCTGGCCTCGGCATTGCGCTCGCTATTTCCAGAGACGGGCGGGCGGGAAGGTGGGGCGCTGGCTGGCGGGGCGCGGGGTGCGGGGCTGGGGGACCCCGAGGCCCCGTCCGGCTCCCGGAGCCTGGCGGCCGCTGGGCCAACACCCCATGCAGGGCGCCGCCTCTGTGACCGGAAACCCCCATCTCGGCTGGGCCTGCACGCCAGGACACGCCAGGACACGCGTGTCCAAGTCTGTGGTGACCGGAGGATAAATGAAAGGGTTGGGGGACGGGTCTTAAATACGCGGGTTTCCTGTCCTATCGTGTCTACGGGGGTATATAGCTGTGTGTTTTAACTTTTTTTTTTTAGTAGCATAGAACTAGCATAATACTCCTGTTAATGGACTCGTAGGTAGTATATACTTCACCAGAACGCAGGGGAATGGAGGGGCCTGGCGCAGGGTGGCCGAGGAGGAAGAGCCAGGAGCGTCCCGCCCCGGCCCGTGTGGCTCAGTGGGTAGAGCGTCGGCCTGCAGACCAAAGGGTCCCGGGTTCGATTCCGGTCAAGGGCACGTACATACCTCAGTTGTGGCCTCCGGGCCCTGGCCGGGCGCGTGCAGGAGGCAGCCCATCAATGTGTTCCTCTCACATCGATGTTTCTCTCTGTCTCCCCCTCTCTCCCTAAAAACCAAGGGAAACATGTCCTCGGGTGAGAATTAACCAAAAAGAGGGCTCAGTGGCAAACCGGACCAATGCCATCCAGGGGGTCAGGGGACCCTCAGAGGAAAGGCCTGGGGGGGGGACGCCTGCCTTGTGCCCTCGCCCCGACCACCGACCTCCGCCACCAGCCGACTGAGGGGGTGCCCACTGCCCCCCAAGTCTGTGCCGGGTCAGAAGGGGCGCCGCCCACCAGGACAGGAGAGGATGGTCCACTCGGCGCCCGAGACAGAGGCCGGCAGGAGGGACACAGGAAGCGAGCCAGGCGCCAAGCACACATCAACCCACGCGTGACGTCACGCCTTGGTCCCCAGCTCCTGCCCCCGCCCCAGAGCTCCCCCCTCGCCCCGAACCCTCAGGCCCCCCCGCGGGCCCCGCGCCCAGGGCGGCCACATTCATGGTTAAATAGTGTTTCCTACAAATATACAACATATAAAAACTGTTAAATATATAGCTTTAGGCTTTGCAAAATACATTTAATGATTCTCTTTCAAACAGGGTTACTTCCGCTTCCTTCCATTGCTCTCCGGGGCGGACGGCATCGGGGAGACCGCCCCTAAGGCGCAGCATGCGGCGGGAGACCGGCGTCCGGCGGATGGCGACGAGGCGTGGCTAGTGGTTAGGAGGGTTTAGTACGGTCAGTCCAGCTCGGCCTGGGCACGCGGCCGGAGTCCCATGTGGGGTTGGGCCGTCCCACAGGGCAGGGGCACCTCCGGGCGCCCGCAGTGTTCGGGGGCGGGGGCCGCCCCCTCCTGGGGGCCGGGGCCGACGGCATGTCCGTGCCCGCGCCCCATGGCCCCGGGCTGGGCGCGGGGCGAGTCCGCGTTAAAACAGATTTGCTCTTTGGTCTATCGAGTGAACTGCAGGTAAGAAAATAGAAGCGACTCGGGCAGTCCAGGCGCCCAGTCCGTCCTCCAGGCTGGCTGTCCGCTCCGGCCGCAGCCCCAGGGCTCCTCCTCCTCCTCCGGCTCCTCCTCCTCCTCCTCCTCCTCCGGCTCCTCCTCCTCCTCCTCCTCCTCCGGCTCCTCCTCCTCCTCCTCCGGCTCCTCCTCCTCCTCCTCCGGCTCCTCCTCCTCCTCCTCCTCCTCCTCCGGCTCCTCCTCCTCCTCCTCCTCCTCCTCCTCCTCGGTGGGGGGCGCAGCCAGGTCTGGCCGGGAAGGCAGGCGAGGCCAGTCGTGGGGGGCCTGGAGCACCCCCACTGCGTCCCAGGCGGGACTCCTGCAGCCGGAGACTCCGCTCAGAAGGCCGGGACGCGGCTGTCCGTCCGTCCGGGTCGGGCTGTGAGAAACGGAGGCGCCGATGGCAGAGGGTGGCCTGTCGGGTGCCCAGGCCCTCCGCTCTGTGGGCCGGCGTCTGTCAGGAGACCTGTGGGGGGGAGAGGAGAGAGCAGTCAGGCTCCGATGCCACGGGCCCGTCAGGAGCGACGGGAGCCCCAGAGACACCCTCGGAGACACCCCAGGCCGCCCGGCGGGGCAGCCCTCAGCAGCTGCCCGCTGACCACCAGGCCAGAAACTAGACGGAGCCCTGAGTTCCAGGACAAGTCCCTCCCGGCCTGGCCCGGAGACCCCAGGGCGATCCCGAGTTCATGCCGTGATTCTGTTCTCTCCGTGTTTGAGGTGCCGGCCCCTCCGGACTCCTAAGTGACAACCCCCTGCCCCAGACCCACCCGTGAGGCCGGGCACCCTCACCAGGCGGGGACCTGCACCTGGGCCAGGCTCTGACCCCCAGGCCCCCTCAGGTGTCTCTGGTCTGTCTCCCCGCAGGCGAGTCTGGGAGGGACCCAGCTCTGTCTCACGGGATCCAGCCCAGGGCGGCGAGTCCCGTGTCCCGCTGGCCCAGCCCTGAGGGAGGAACCTCGGGGTTCCGCCCTCCCCTGACCCCAGCGAAGATGGGCTGCGTCCTCTCCGCCCAGCAGGTCACCGTCAGCTCCACAGGGGGCTACACCCGCAAAGGAAGCCTCAGGGGCTTCTGGCCCGGCCCGGCCCGCCAGGCAGCCCGCTGACAAGCGCAGGAGGCTTCGCAGCCCCGAAGCCGCGGCCTCTGTCCCCGGGCACCGTGGCCGGCAAACCGCGGCCCGTGAGCCTCGTGCGGCTGTTTGGCCCCTTGAGTGTGGCTCTTCCACAAAACACCACGGCCTGGGCGAGTCTGTGTTGAAGAAGTGGCGTGAGGAGAAGTTTACGTTTAAAAAATGTGGCTCTCCAGAGACATGTCAATCCTTGTGCTGTTGACATTCGGCTCCGTGGATGAATGAGTTGCTGACCACGGGCCTGGCTGGGCTCCCGGCTGCTCCGCCTGAGGCTGTGCCCAGCCTGCTCAGGGCTGCAGCTCGGGGGCCTCATTGCTTCCCTTTCCCCGGCTCGGAGGGACCCTCCTGAGGGGCCCTCATCTCAGCGGCACCAGCCTTCCCAGCCCGAGGTGTGTGTGACTGCTGCGCCGCCCGCTCTCTCCGCGCCGCTCACTTCAATGGGGCCCTTCGGCTGCCCCCACACCTGCCGGGAACTCGTGGTCGGCAAACTGCGGCTCACGAGCCACACACGGCTCTTCAGCCCCTTGGGTGTGGCTCTTCCACAAAATGCCACGTGGGGGCGCGCACGGACGGTGCTCTTGAAATTTCGTGGCCCATGCGCAGAAGCTGGGTTCCGGCTCAGAAGAAATGCCCATCGTTGTCCTGTTGACATTGGCTCTGTGGACGAACGAGTTTGCCCACCACAGGTCTACGGCGTCTCCTCCTGAGGGCGGCCGGGGGGCCCCTGCTCACCTCCCACCTGGCACTTCCCTCCCCACCCCCCGCTGCCGACCACACGCCCGGGGCCGGCTGCTGGCCCTGCTTCATCCTGTCCAGGGCACGCGAGCACGGGAGGGCCAGGTGGGATATGTCTGCCATCACGTCTCGCGCCACGACTCTGCTGGGCATCCTCCGAGGACTGTGTGTGAACAGCGGGGCCGTGTCCCAATAAAACTTTATTGACAAGAGCGGGCGGGGGCCGACGTGGCCGCAGGGCCGCAGCCTGGGACTCTGGTCGGGGCCACGGCCTGTGTGCGCGCACGGCTCACAGCTGGACGGGCCTCGTGTCGTCCGGGGATTCGTCTCACGGCGTCTCCGCGGGTCCTCCGGGGCCCGGGGACCACCTGCCCGGCATCTGCCGGCGACGCCGGTGCCGTGTCCTCGCGCCGAACCTGCAGGCGGCTGCTGTGCCGTCTCCCCAACGCGGCCGCGGGGGTGACCCTGGTCCCAGGCGCGAGGGGCCCTGCTCCCCGCCGTGGGCTCGGGCCTCCGGGGCGCCGGCCCCCGAGGCCCCGCCTCTGCCTGGGGGCGGCAGGTCCGCGGGGCCCTGAGCCAATCCGGGGTTAGAACCCCTCTCGTTTGTCTCCTGCTGGTCTGTCCCCTCTGACTCTGAAACATCAAAACTGACTTCCACTCCCACACAGACCGTGGCGTGGCAGCGTGGCTGTTCCTTTAAGGGCTGCAGGACGCAGCCGCTGTGATTCTCTCAGGTTCAGGTGACCCATCGCCGCCGCCACTGGGGAGTGCCCACTCCAGGGGCGGGTCCCCCGATTTATCGCCAACCCCCAACACAATGAGGTGCACGGGGCCTCGGGGGTGCGGTGCTGCGCGAGGTGACCTGCCGTGACCTTGTCCACCTTGGGGGGCCCTCTGGCCTAAAGGGCCTGGGCAGCGGGCCAGGGTTGGGGGGGTGGCGCCCCCGTCAGGTTCACCGTCCGGCTCAGGCGCGAACCCGCGTGCCGGAGGCGGGGACGCACTCCCTCAGCCTCGCCAGAGGCGGCGGCCGACCGGCCTCTCACGTTCACCGTCCTCCTCTCCTGCTTCTCCTCTTTGCACCTCAGCGGCTTCTTCACTGCTCAGGTCACTCGTTTGCACTCTTCCTCGTTGAGAAATGAGGAGATTTAAAGGCGGGCAGGCGCTCACGGAGGGGTCCCCCCGATGGGACCCGGGACTCCAGTCCACAGGCCGACGCTCTACCCACTGAGCCACACCAGCTGGGGCAGCCCTACAGTCTAAGTGCCGGGCCCACGTGCAGGGTGTCCCGGGGTGCTGCTCCCCCAGATCTGGGGGCCGGGGATCCATCCTGCCCCCCGGCATCCAGTGTGGAGCCAAACTGGGGTGTGGGGTGGGGGGAGGAGGGAGGAGGGAGGGTGCGGTGGGAAAGGGGCAGGGAGAGCAGGGTGCGGTGATGAGGGGGGGAGGGGGGCAGGGTGGGGGAGGGGAGAGGCCGGCCAGCCCTCCTGCACCTCCTCTCAGGCCTCAGGGACAGCCCAGCCCCTGGGAGGGCTCCTCCCGAGCGGCTGCCTCCCATCAGGTGTAAATCGGCACAGACCGGCCGCTTTAGGCAAAGGGAGGCGAACGCAGCTCTGGAGCTGCCACACCGAGAGGCCTCCAAACGGACTCGGCCCAAGTGCCCACGGGCGGCCGGGCCTCCCCCCCCCAGCCCCCGGGACGGCCCCCCCAGCCCCGGCCCCCCCCGCCCCCGGGACGGCCCCCCCAGCCCCCGGGACGGCCCCCCCAGCCCCGGCCCCCCCCGCCCCCGGAACGGCCCCCCCAGCCCCCGGGACGGCCCCCCCAGCCCCTGGGACGGCACCCCCTGCCCCCGGGACGGCCCCCCCAGCCCCCGGGACGGCGTCCCTCCCCTGCCAGCCCCCAGGAAGGTCCCCCCCATCAGCCCCCGGGCCGGTCTCGCCCCCCCCGCCAGCCCCCGGCCGGCCCCCCCGCCCCGGCCCCCCGCCCCGGCCCCCCCCGGCCCGCGCACCGTGGTGGTCTTGATGCGCCCGCCGGGCTGTGTGCAGGTCCAGCCGGAGCGGTTGATGAGCAGGTCGCAGCCTTCGCCCTCCAGGCACGGCCGCATGTCACACCACTGCTTCGTCCGGATGATGCGAGCTGGGGGGAGGGACAGCGTCAGTGCTGCCACGGGTACGGGCACCGCCCGGCTCCGCCCCCACCGGCCCGGCCCCCTCCCCCCCGCTCCCCCTCCCCCCGCCCGGCTCCCCCCCCACCGGCCCGGCCCCCCTCCCCCCCGCTCCCCCTCCCCCCGCCCGGCTCCCCCGCCCCGCCCCCCGGCTCCCGCAGGGCTCAGCACCCAAGCCCCCCGCGGGTGCCACCGGCTGCCGGGTGCACGGCCCGGCACCGCGCCCGCGGGGAGAAGCAGGGACGAGCCCTCAGGCGCTGGGGGAGCTGGGGAGCCGGGTCCGAGTGAGGACAGAATGGACCGTGTTCACGCACCTGCCCCTCGCCCAACACGCCAACGGCGTGCCCCCCGCCATGTCCTGCCGCGTCCTGTCCTGCCTCAGCCACAGCGCCTGGCTGCATGGTACGTGTACACACATGCACACACATGTACATGGACACACAGAAACGCACATGTCACAAATGCGCACAAACAGGCATGTGCACATGTAAACACAGAACCACCATGTGAAACAGCACGTGCGCACACATACACGTGTGTACACACATACACACATGTGCATGTACACCCTCCTGCACCCACAGCCAGGCGTGCAGCCCGGCACACAGCGGGCCGGTGGGCGTGTTTGAAAAATGAACACGCAGTGGACACAAGTGTCACTGAGCACCGGCGTGCGCGGCCAGCCTGCAGGGGGCGCTGCAGGCCACGCTCACCCACGCCTTTTATCTGCCCAGGCGCTGGGCCCGCCCGCCCGGCCCACTTCCTGCGGGAGGCACAGCCCCGGCCGCCCGGACAAAGGGCCTTTTATGCCCACACGTCACCGCGTCCCCCTCCGCCCAGACTGGGCCACTCCTGGCCGCAGCGAGTCCGGAGCGGCCGTGCTGAGCCTGTGGGCCGGGCTGAGGCGGGCTGAGGCCGGGGCGGTGCTCACAGCTGACCGTGCGTCACAGCCCGGGGCCCACGCTGGCCGGGAGCTTGGCCCCCATGCCTGTCCCCAGGCCCAGGGAGAGCAGGTCAGTCCCGCCCGGGCCTCTGAGAGGACAGTGCAGCCCCAGGACCAGTCCAGCCTGGCCTCCCCCCCTCCTCTCACACATGCACACACGTCCACACAGCACACATGCACATGCCCACACACGTCTACACAGCACACATATCCATGCACACGCGTCCACACACACACACATTCGCCCGCGTCCACACACAGGCACTGGCCTCACGGTTCTCCCCAGTGAGGCCCCGGGCTCGGCCCAGCCGGGGCCTGGCCCTTTCTGGGCTCCGAGTGCCCCCGTGAGGGCCTGTGGGGGCTCCGGGCTCAGGGCTCCCTCCTCGGCCCCAGCTCCCAGAACCAGCCCTCGCAGCAGCCAGTCCCCGGGAACAGGCCTCCGGGGAGACATGGGACCTCCCGCGCCAGGGCCTGTGGGGCGTCCGGGGACCAGGTGCTCACACGCCTCAGGCCGCCCCTCACCCTGCACGCAGAGCACACCCCACCCCCGCCCTGCCCCCACCCCTGCACCCCCTGCCTCAAATCCTGCACCCCCTGCCCCAAATCCTGCACCCCGCCCCGCCCTCCACCCCTGCACTCCCGCCCCGCCCCCCCAATCCCCACCCCTGCCCCAAATCCTGCACCCCCGCCCCCGCCCCCCACCCCTGCACTCCCGCCCCGCCACCCCAACCCCCACCCCTGCCCCAAATCCTGCACCCCCGCCCCGCCCCCCCACCCCTGCCCCAAATCCTGCACCCCCACCCCGCCCCCCACCCCTGCACCCCTGCCCTGTCCCACCCCCGCCCCCTCCCTGTACCCCCGCCCACGGCCCCGTCGGGCAGGAGCCTCGCCGGGCCCGCGGGGAGCCGTGAGAGCCGTGTCTGGCACCGTCGCCTGTAAAATTGATGCTGCCGCTTGGATCCTCTGGGTTTGTTGTCGTGTTCACGTTAATTTTTAAACGGTCTCAGCGTGCTGCAGTTTGTCCTCTAATGAGGGTTTGCTTATATTCTTGCAACACGACAAGAAAACGACAGGTCAGCGTGGGGGGCCTCCCTCAGCGGCTCCCGTGGCCGCGCTGAGGACCGGACGCCGCGGGGGACGCGCTCTCCGGCAGCCCCCGGGCGCGGGCCGAGAGGGACACGGCGGCAGGGGCTCCGGGGCCTGTCCTCAGCCGGGAGGGCTCCTGGGCAGCGCCCACCCCAGTGCCTGCGCCAGCCGCCCGAGTCACCTGCCGTAGAGACCAGGACACGGAGTGTGGGGACCAGGACACGGCGTGTGCAGGGAGCAGGCGTGTGCAGGGAGCCGGCGTGTGGGGACCAGGACACGGCGTGTGCAGGGAGCAGGCGTGTGGGGATCAGGACACGGCATGTGGGGACCAGGACATGGCATGTGGGGACCAGGACACGGCGTGTGCAGGGAGCAGGCGTGTGCAGGGAGCAGGCATGTGGGGACCAGGACATGGCGTGTGCAGGGAGCAGGCGTGTGGGGACCAGGACATGGCGTGTGCAGGGAGCAGGCTTGTGGGGACCAGGACACGGGCCTTTGCAGGGAGCAGGCGTGTGGGGACCAGGAAATGGCGTGTGCAGGGAGCAGGGGTGTGGGGACCAGGACATGGGCGTGTGCAGGGAGCAGGCGTGTGGGGACCAGGACGCGGGCGTGTGCAGGGAGCAGGCGTGTGCAGGGAACAGGGGTGTGGGGACCAGGACATGGGCGTGTGCAGGGAGGAGGCGTGTGGGGACCAGGACAGGACGTGTGCAGGGAGCAGGGTGTGGGGACCAGGACACGGGCGTTGCAGGGAGCACTGGAGTGGTGTAGCTGCCCCATCCCTTTGGTCCTCCCGACCCCCTCATCCCAAACCTGAGGGCCGGGGCCGGGGGTGACCTGTGGCTCCGAGCTTCCCGGGACACGTCGGCCGCGGCTGCTGATGGGCCGGGCAGATGGACGGCAGCGGTGCGGGAGGCGGGCGCTCGGGGACCAGCGGCTCCCGCACGCCCAGGCCTGGCTGCTCGGGCTGCGGGCTCCCGCGGGACAAGCTGCTTCTTCGTTCCCATTAGCAGGAATCTGCTTCCTTTACTCAGCAGCTCGGAAAGACGCGGCAGCCGGAACCGAGCGGCGGCGGGCGGGTGCTGGCTGCCTCCCTCACAGCCGCGGACCAGGTCCTCCCCGCGGGCCTGCAGGGCCGTCCCAGCCCGCCCGGATCGCTGACAGGGTCAGGCGACTCATGGAAAAGGGGCGTCGACACTGAGCACGCATGGCTACCTGCCGATCATACACCCGTGCACGTCACACACACACACACACTCACACACACACACACACTTGCTGACCCACAGTCACAGCGGGTCCGACAGGCCCAGGGTTCCGGAAGAATCTACTGCGTGAGGATGGAGGCAGGCCCCTGCGGACACCTTGTGCTGTTCAGGAGGCCCTGGTCCCCCACCTTTTTGCTCCAGAAGCTCAGGTACCAGCTCAGGGGGGGGGGGGGGGGCGCAGAGGTCAGAGGGCACTTGGTGGCCCCAGACCATCATCCTGAGGCGGCCGCCCTCCCAGGGGAATCAGGAGCGCGCTCTGGAGGACGGGCCAGGACGGTGCTGGCCGGTGCTGGCCGGTGCCGGGTGCTGGGCCTGGGGGAGCAGGGGTTTCCTGTCCACCCGCCCCGCCTGCAGGGTTGGCTGTCACGGTTCAGGAAAACGCAAACAATCCCAGGCCACGCCCACCATGCTTGGCCCCCCAGGTGAGTGAGCCCACGGGCTCAGAGCAGGGCCAGCGGCCGGGGTGCTGCAGCCGGGAGGCCCCTCCCCAGGGCAGCCCGAGGATCCAGGGCCGCCGGAGGGTCCGGGCTCCAGGGCCCGGCCACGGAGACGGCACCCCCCACCCCCATACCCCCGAGCAGGAGGAAGCGGGGCCTGTCTGCTCCCCTCGCCCAGCCCCTCATCATCTCGGAAAAGAAAAACCCGCAGAACCCAGGTTACGCCTTCAAACGAGACTGCGTTCTCCTCCTACAACTCCGGGCAGCATAATTGAGTGAGAACAGTCTCGGTAATTATTTTTCCTTTAAATAGTTACAGTGGAATGGATTAATCTCCGAGACGGCCTCTGATTAGCGTGATTCATTGGCGGCGGGAACGGTCCCCGGCCGCGGCTCGCAGGCAGGGTCTGTGCTCCTCAGAGGGCACCGCGGCGAGGGCGCCGGCAGGCACTCGGCTCGGAGGAGAGAGGAGCACAGGGCGTCCCGAGGGCCTGCCCCTCTGCCATCGGGATTAAGGAACGCGGGAGAGGGAGAAACCCGCCAACCCTCCTTCTGGGGCCGATTCCCACAAATGACAGGAGCTGCTTTCGCGGGAGGGAGCGCGAGGCGGCCGCTGTGATGTCAGCGTGGGCGGGGAGGCCCCCTCCTTTCGGGGGTGCGGGGTGGGGACTCCAGCTCGGGGGGAGGCCTCATCTCTGTGGGGAGGGACAGTCCCCCTCCTTCATCAGACGGGGACACCCCTTCCTTACGGGGTTCGCCCCTAGAGGCAGCGCCCCCCCCTGCAGCGGCCCCCGGAGCGGTGCTGGGGTCAGTCTCTGGGCCGTGAGGGGTGACTGTCCACGGGGAGAGGCCCTGCGGCAGGTGCCTGGGTCCGGCCTCTCCGTCACCAGCCTCCACGGTTGCTCCTGGCGTGAACCGAGGCCCCTCGTGCCCAGGAGAGCCGCGCCCACCCCCAGGCGGCCTGCAGCACGCCCCTCGCCCACGCCACGCCCAGGGACAGGGAAGGGCTCCCTCGGCCTTTCCCAGATGGGGGCGCTGTGGACACCTCCGGTCTCAGGTGGGGGCAGTGCCTCGGGGACGGGGGCCGCTCTGCAGCCCGGCGGTGGCTGAGGGCCTCGGGGTCTGCAGCCCGGCCTGCGCAGAGGCTGGCCACCGGCTCGCACCCACACCCCTGGTGGGGGAGGCGGTTCTGACATCAGGCTCCTGGGACTCATGGAGCTTCGGGAAGCCGGCCCGGCGCC